TTCTAACTTACACTATCATTCTAAAGTTTGTGGTCCGTAAGATTTTAAAATCTTTATGGAAGAAGCCATCAAGTGCATTTATTTGTGCAAAAATACAGTAAAATTGTGAAACATTTTTTTACAATTTAAAGTGACTGTTTTCTGTTACAATGTATTTTAAAGGGGTCCTATTATGCTCTTTTACAAAGTCTTGATTTTGTTTTGGGGTGTACTAGAACATGCTCTCATGCTTGGTGGTTCGAAAAACGCATTATTTTTCACATAATTTACAATATTAAAATACCTTTCTCCCCAGTCTGGCATGAACGGCTCGATTAGTTCCGGCTTTGATGAAGGTCCACCTTCCGAAAAACAAAATGTGTTGTGATTGGTTAGCTGTCCCAGTGCGTTGTGATTGGCGAACAGCTTAGACGGTGTTTCAGTACTGCCACGCCCCTTGCTCCGTCTTTCAACAAAAGCTTTTTGGCGAATCTGGCAGGCACTGTACTCCCTCATGTTGTGGAAGCTGTCCTCAGTAAAATGCGCAGCACACAATAGCAAATTGGGGTTATAATGCTCAGGGACAGAGTTAAAAAATAAATTGCAACCACTGTTTCCTGACATCATCCGCTTTCGGAAGCCCAAACAAAGACGTTTGGGCATGGAGGTGAAAAAAAACAGTGTTTCAGGCGGTCGCGCACCGGACGAGAAGCGCAGCGTCGCGCCACGTCTTTAAAATTCAAATACATTATTTTCTATGAGTGTAGGCACACCGGCGGCGCCGTTTGGCGTCCGCTACAGCACAGCAGCTCTTCTTCTTCATTTTCTCTGATGCACTAACTCTGCAGCAGCACTTCTTCTTCGTTGTCTCGTCTGATGCACTCACTCAATCAAGCGTTCTAACCACAACATCGCCCCTCCCCAGCCCCCAACCATTCGAATTTATGTAGGCGGGAATTCTTTTTAATGATATTCTAATGAGCCGCTTTGTGATATCACAAAGCCCGGAAAACAAACACTGTAGTCCAAACGAGTCGTTCATTGTTTACAGTGAATTTATAACAGCTGAGGGGTGTTGTTAGGCACGTCGCGAAGCGACCCCTTAGCTGTTATAAATTAACTGTAAACCACAGCTTCACGGGGCTTATTGCTTCTATAAAACAGTTATTTTAATACGTAGTAAGGTTTCACAAAATAAAACCCAGCAAATAAAGTGTAATGATATTAATAAAAACATTATTCTTTTCACCAAACAATGTAGTTCCTCAGAATCAGTTGTGGTTGCAACAAAGTGGTTGCCGAGCAACACACAAATGTAAACAAAGGTGTATGTTTGTAGAGTAATTTACAACAGCTTCGAATGTGGCTTAGCCAATCAGAATCAAGGACTGGAACTATCTGTTTTATAATATGTGACCCTGGACCACAAAACCAGTCTTAAGTTGCTTGGGTATATTTTTAGCAATAGCCAAAAACACATTGTATGGGTCAAAATTATCGATTTTTCTTTTATGCCAAAAATCATTAGGATATTAAGTAAAGATCATATTCCATGAAGATATTTTGTAAATTTCTTAATGTAAATATATCAAAACTTAATTTCTGATTAGTAATATGCATTGCTAGGAACTTCATTTGGACAACTTTAAAGGCGATTTTCTCAGTATTTAGATTTTTTTGCACCCTCAGATTCTAGATATTCAAATAGTTGTATCTCGGCCAAATATTGTCAGATCCTAATAAACCATACATCAATGAAAAGCTTCTTTATTCAGCTTTCAGGTGATGTATAAATCTCAATTTCGAAATATTGACCCTAATGACTGGTTTTGTGGTCCAGGGTCACATATAATTTATTCCTGTGATGCAAAGCTGCATTTTTTATAAGGCTTCAGTGTCACATCCTTCAGAAATCATTCTAATATGCTGATTTGATAAAGATTTTCTATTATTCTCAGTGTTGAAAACAATTGTGTTTTTTTATATATTTGTATATATATATTTATATATTTGTAAAAACCATTATTCATTAGAAAGTTTTTACTGTCACTTTGATCAATTTAATGCACCCTTTCTTAATTAATAAAAAAAATAGTTTTTTTTTCTTTCAAACAAAAAAATACAAAATCGTACCCACCCCAAACTTTTGAACGGTAGTGTGTAAGCACTTAACTTTATATGTATACATTAATGTGTATATATACTTGTGCCCCATCTGTAATACACACACAATCAAACACACTTAAAAGAGTGTTCAGTTCATAAGTTGAGTGAAATTAACTTTTCTACTGCACTGCAGTACTTCAACAGTCTGTGCAGCAGGAGTTTAGATGAACCTTTTGATATGCTTAATTAATGAAACTGGAGTGTATGAACATCTCCTCAGACTTTATCAATGCACACCGATCCATACCAAAGCCAATGGACCAGGCTTAAGATTACAGTCCAATTTAATTTAAGACAGATACAAGCAGCCAATTAGTTATCTATCTTTCACTCAGTTTCTTTGAAATCACTAATCGTTATATTTTGGCTTTGGTAGGAACATGTCCCAAAGGTCCACACCAGATTCTACACCAATGCACATCTTTACATTTATTTCGAAAGTTGCCAAAGTTTGAGTTACAAAATGTGGAGTTTGACGCTCCCTGTGCTACTGAGACCTCGGTGACGTATAAGAAGCTCAATTTGATTTGCTCATCTCATCTCTTACTGACCTCTAATTGATGTTGCCATCCGAGCTTGGTGATGCTCCCAATATAGCCCCTGTGTGTGTCCAATATTTGATTATGCGCCGGTCTCCATGGCACCACGGCCATTTGTGTGCTAATTAATTACCAGGCTTAAGAGCTTGTAGATAATTGGTGTGTACATCACCATCAATTCCATTAAAAAGAGCAATTATCACCTACCTTATGCAAATGATTGTTTCTGAGCTCCCCCCTCTCTCATCAAATTAAAAGGAGACACTTGAGTTGTGCCGCTCTGCACTAGATCACACTTTCAATATCATATTAATAGCAAGAAAAGACGCGGAGTCTCACGGATACATGCATGACGTCTATAATGAATCTTTAGAGACCAATAAAGGGTGTGTGAAAAATCTGAGAATATCCTGGTGCGAAAAACTGTCCAAAAACTAGTTAAACCACTCAAATGAATCGTGAGGTGCAAACGTGCGCACGTTAAATATCTCTGACCATGGGCGATACAGGTGCTGGAGCAGATCTATGGCTCTCTGTGATTGGAAAAGTAGGTCATGGAGTGCTATGGCTGGAAATATAAAAACTGAACATCTTTGCCGCATGAGACCCCAACAGGGAAATCATCGCTAAATAAATCAAGTACGTGCTGAGCCCAATAGAGCTTCACTCTCTCAGCCCAGAGAGACGCGACTGACCATTAGCGTATAAATACACATACTTCCATCACGGCTCTTTTCACGCAGGAAGGGACCTCAAAACCTATGGTGACATATTAAGGACAATGACATATAAATCAAATGTCTTCTTTTGACCGACCTTTCCTAATTTTACTCAAGGTGAGAATGAAGGTTCTGCTGGTTCACACTGCTTAGATGAGCAAAATTGCAAAGATAATTTTCCTTTCAAAGCATTTTTTTATTACAATTCCACAAATGTCTGCTTTTTTTTCTGTAATTGTTATTTGTTTTTCATTCAGCTGATTTAATGATTTTGGGGGGCATTTGGATGAACCTCACAAAGCTGTCAATAACAGATCCAGGACCATATTTCACCTCAAAATAAATCAAGGGAAGGAAACAAGAAAATATATTTTGCTGAGCAATGAAGGTTAAGACAATTTTAGATTTTTCGCTGTGTTATTATTTTTATGATAATTTAGCACTTTCCCTAGAAAAATAAAATAAAAAAATAAATAATAAATCCTGCTTACCAGAATTCAACAAATTATATGATTCTCATTATTTTAATGATTAAAAAAATATTGAGATTTAAAGATATTTAAATAGTAAAGCATCTTGTATTTGTTGTTTTTAATTTATTGTTGATTTTTATTATTTTAAACTATTTTATTAGAGTATTCAATCATTATTTTATTGAATTAGAATGTGATAATTGTATGTAACTGGCACAAAATAATAATAATAATTCAAAATGGTCCTTAAATAATCTTAATTTTCCTTAAGTAAAATGGCATATATATATACACACAGCAAGTATATTTATAAAAAGCAAGTAGCACTTAATTAAACACGATATTTGGCAGTTGAAGAAAAAAAAAATATATTTTTTTTTTTTACTTAAAAAAAAAAAAGTAGTTTAATTCAGTGTTACTTGCTTTTTCTTTGTAATTGTTTGTGGAATTTACTAGCTATTGAACATTTACGTTTTTATTTAAACATTTATTTTACACCAAATATTCCAGTGTACCATCTAAGCAATTGCTACTTCTGATATACCAAGCTCATTTTGCCATCTAAACAGTCCTAACCAGACACAAAAAATTGCAAGACATTTTGCTGCTTGCTTTTTATTCGCTCTATCTAAAGCGAATCCCACCGACTGTCATAAATATACATTAAACAACATATATATTCTGATTACCAGGCCTTCTGTCATTATGCACAGCATCAAGAGTTCAGCGTGAACAGAAAAAAATGCTGGAAACGTCATGCTGCGACTGACTTAATATGAGGTGTAAAGCACATCTTAATGCACATCTACTGCATTTCTGCACAAATACGCATAATTGTGCAATTTTGCCTCTACCCATCTCTTATTTATTACAACTACGTTCACTTGTGCAAACTTCATTCTGTGTATCATGAGAGCACTCTATATTTACATTGTAAACTGTTATTGCAGAACATTAAATTGTTGCACACATTGAGTGGGAAGGCGTATAATGAAAACTATCATCTGTGATATTCATCTTGCTCTCTGGCTCAGCTCCTCCTCCTCTGTTAAGTTCAGAGAAGAGCAGAGACAAAGAGAGAAGGAGAGTAACTAGAGCTGCACTGAAAACATGAGCAGACTCACCGGAGCTGGGGTCTGAGTTGCCGTCCGCTTCGGTCCTCTTGTCCGGAGAGGCCTGCTCGTAGAACTCGTCCTGCGCCTGCACCAGAGGGAGAGGGTGTGAGATGAGCGGCCCACTGCCCACAGGCTCATGGTCCCCTAGCCCACTGTCACTGCAGCTTTCCTGAGACCCGTCCGGCAGGTGAAACGTGACACGCCGCTGCGACTATAAAACCAGAGAGCAGAGAGACAGAGCCACACATTAATGCCTGTCTCCTTCTTATCCAATCAACCGCCCACTTTCAGTCAATATTGTGGATTGAGACTGAATTACAAATTTGACAGCTGAGGGATTTGTTGACTTTTATAGAAATTAATTTACTGAACAAATAGCAATTTTTGGATTTTATTTGGTCAAAATTGCCCCTCGGCACAGCAAACACAAGTCACATTTCACTTTACGAAGCTCTCAGCACTAAAGAACATGTGACATCATGTGCAGAATGGATACAGCGTAATGCGCTAATGATATGATCTGTTAATAATCGCTCAAAATGATGGTGTTATGACATGCCAGCATGTGAGATGAGACTATGAGAAGTGGCATACGATAGATAGACAGACAGACAGACAGACAGACAGACATAGATAGATAGATAGATAGATAGATAGATAGATAGATAAGCATTACAAATCAAAAGTTTAGGGTTGATAAGGCTTTCTCAAATGTTTTGAAACAAGTCTCTTTATGCTCAACAAGCCTGCATTAATTTAATCAACAGATAAAACTATCAATATGGTAAAACAGCATTAAAATTCACAATAAAATTTACAATTCAAAATAAGTGTTTTCTATTTTAATATATTTTAAAATGTAATATAAAATATCTTTTAATATTGAATATATTTTAAAAATGTATTTTTTTCCTGTGATGCAAAATCACTTAAAAAAATTACATTACATTTTACAATAAAACTTACAATTTAAAATAACAATTTTTTTGTATTATTTTAATATATTGTGAAATTCAATTTATTCCTGTGATGCAACAATTCACAATTTAAAATGTGTTTTGTAATTAATATATTTTAAAATGTAATACTGAATATATTAAATATTGAATAGATTTTATGTAAAATAAATGTTTAAAAAATGTATTTTTCTTTTCCTGTGTTGCAAGAGCATTTAAAATGGCATTAAAGTTTACAATAAAATGTACTATTTAAAATAAGTGTGTTCTATTTTAATATATTTTAAAATGTAATTTATTCATGTCATGCAACAGCATTAGAAACATCATTAAAAATTTTACATCAAAATTTACAATTTAAAATAACTTTATTATTATTATTATTATTATTATTATTATTATTATTATTATAATAAAAAAGATAATAATAATAAATAAATAAATAAATCTAATCTTACTGCCCCCAAACTTTGTAACAGTATAATGAGTTGTTGTGATAGAGGTAGTATGTTCTATGTTCATTGCTCTCGAAGATGGCCGGTCAGCACAGGCTATGCCCACAGCGCTGGTAGGCGTTGGCGGAATATCACTGCTGGGTTGGCACGGCCCGGCCAGAGCATCCCAGTTCACATGCCATGTGCTCACACTGGGCACAAAGGCTCAAAACTGTGTGAAGTTTCCGGCATCACCATCGAAACGTCTTGATGATGCAGCGTGCCTGTACCATCCTGCATCTGTGAGCTTTCCATTGCTTGCATACACAATAATTTATACACAATCTGGGAAATAATTGCACACGTAATTTTAACCAAGCGCAGTTCTTGTTGCTTTTCAAGAAAATATTTCTGCATTGCTGATCTCAGTCACTTGCTAATTTTGAGCATACTCCAAGAAATTCTAATGACATTTCGCAAAGTCCAGCACCGAGCTCTCCGCTAACCTTTCTGAGCGGGAAGTTGTCTTTATTTGCACCATATCTGTCGACTGTCTTAGACAACTCTGCTGTAATTATTGGCAAAAGCAAAGGTCAGATACATTGTGAAATTCAATTTATTCATGTGATGCAACACATTTATTTTAAATGAACTATTTAAAATAAGTGTTTTCTATTTGAACACATTTTTAAATGTAATTTATAAATGTAAAATGTCATGCAAAGCTGAATTTTCAGCATCTTTAGTCTAGTCTTCAGTGTCACATGATATTTCTAACATGCTGATTTGCTACTCAAGAAACATTTCTTATTATCATCATCATGTTGAATGTTGAAACCATGTGAAAGTTCCGGCATCACCATCAAAAGGTCTTGATGATGCAGCGTGCATGTACCATCCTGCATCTGTGAGCTTTCCATTGCTTGCATACACAATAATTTATACACAATCTGGGAAATAATTGCACACGTAATTTTAACCAAGCGCAGTTCTTGTTGCTTTTCAAGAAAATATTTCTGCATTGCTGATCTCAGTCACTTGCTAATTTTGAGCATACTCCAAGAAATTCTAATGACATTTCGCAAAGTCCAGCACCGAGCTCTCCGCTAACCTTTCTGAGCGGGAAGTTGTCTTTATTTGCACCATATCTGTCGACTGTCTTAGACAACTCTGCTGTAATTATTGGCAAAAGCAAAGGTCAGCCAATCTCAGCGCTATGCAAATGACCTCATTATATAATTTGGAGCATTTCAGAAAGCAAGTGACATTCAATTAGAGGTAAAAAAAAAAAGAGGTGAACAGTAACTTCAGCATGACAGCCTGAGCTACGAACCACTTAAGCTGGACAAACCACAAACCTTCTCAGATCTCTGGGCTCAGAACAATCTCAGTGACCTTTTCACCTTTTGACCACTTGCATCACAAAGTGTTTATATAATTATTATATATAATTTATAATTATTGTTTATAGTAATTAATGGGGGAAAATTTCAGAATAAGTTTGTTTCAGACAGCCAGTTTACTTGCCATTATTTACTTGGGATTTAAGTTGTTGAAGTAGCAAGATATGCTGTGAAAAGTAATAAAACAAATGTAAAAGTGTGAAATGAACGCAATCATAAACAAATAAAATGGGAGTTGCTGGCACAGCCTATTTGAAGTGTTAAATTGCACTTTTATCACAGAGATGTGTCTTTTAAATTGTCTGAGCGTGCACGTACAGTACATACTGTACATATTGAGTGTGTGTAAGTTCAGTCATATGATAAACTATTGTATATCATACCAGTTCTGACTGATCCCACTACAACTTCACACACATCATTTTAGTAATAGATATGAAGGATATTACGTGCTCTATAAACCACAAGTCCTGTGTAGTATTTTTATTCATATGATATCCTTGGGTTTTGCCAAAAACCACACTATCAACTCACACGCATTAATCTCTCATATCACATTACAATATCATCAGAGCAATATTGTGTGTAGATCAGCTTGCAGAGTTAAATACTACACCTCTAATGTCCCAGCATGATACGCAAACCACCATGAAATTAATGCACAGGTATGTGATCACACTTCAATTATAAACGGTAGTAAAGCAAGACTTGATACACACACATTATATGCAGTGATAATGTATGGCTGCTTATGTGCTCATAATGTTTTAAATATCTAATGATGCATGAATGCATGTGTGTTAATGTAAATGTGCATGCTGCATCCAACATTTAGTGACAGATGGCAGTAAAAATCAATGGGGAAATGGAACCAAAAGACTTTTTAATTAGCTGGTAACTTAAATTGTGAAACAAATAAAATATTGCAAAAAAAAATAAAACATATTATGACTTAATAAATGTTATGCAAGACATGTTCTTGATATATTTCATCTAATTGGCATTTTGTTTAAATAAATCATAAATCTTAAAAAGAAAAATAATGAATGAATGAATGAATGAATGAATGAATGAATGAATACTGTGTGGTTTATGAAATTTTAGGAAAATAAGAAATCTTATTTTAGGAGTATTTTTTTTTACTGGAGAGAAAAAAAAAAGGATAAAAAGAGGTTTATCTATGTACATATGTCTCGTATTAAGCCACCAAATCATACATATGAGGAATAAAAATCACAATTTTGTTTTTGTGGCAATTGGACAGACTCTGGCTCATCTCGAGGGACACATTGACCTGTGCTGTTTATCACAAATATGCAAAGAAAAAATGGCTAAATAATCCTATTTTCAATGGTCCAAAAATATATTTTTAATAAAAATGGTGCAAAATAAAGCTTTATGGCCAGTGAGAAATATGTATGCTACATTTTCCCAATTCTCCAAAAGTTAATACAGGATCCCGTGTACCTGCGCCTCACACCATGTGAAAGTCAATGTGGGCATGAATGTGTGTGTTTGTGTGTTTGCCCAGCAGTCACTCACTGCTGTATTAGCATAAGACCAGCTTAAACCTTCGCAACTGCCAATTTACACGCAATCATGGTTTATCATGCTTGTCAGCCCATATTAGCGGCGTGTTTTTATATTGCAACGGGCCACACGCGCTGGCGACGGCACTGGTGCTAAGCAAACATAGCCGCTTTCAGCTAAGATGTTTGCCCTCGTCAGAGTACACAGAATCAGTGTCACAGACGTTTTCTGCTCAAAGACGCACGAGTCGATCTCGCCACCCGATTCCCTCACTCGGGGCTCAGGAGCGAAGAAAGAAAAGAAAAGAAAGTGGATGCCTCTAAAGCACTTTTCAGAAAATGGAGACATCTTTGGCTGCGAGTAAATAGGCAATTACGACATGCATAAACAAATCTGCGAACATGCAGATCTTTAATAAATTACATGTCCTACGTTTCAGGCTCATGTCAGTTTTTCTAAGGAGGAATTTCAGGGCTTGCTTATGAGTGCTTCACATCCAACAGAGTAGCGCTTAATGGATTTGCGTTAAGTCTGGGTTTAACCTAGCCTCCTGCTCGGCAAAAGTCATCGCCGTCTGAGAACTGTTAACGCGGTTTAGCGGCAGATCAGGTCTCTGTGTAGAGATTAGCACCAGAGTTTGCTGGAACTTTCCAGCGAATGTCACAAAACCTCAGAACATCTTCCGTAATTCTCTAGAAGGCACAACAAATCTGGCTAGAGTTAATTCGCTGCCGTATCTGTTCTTAACGTGATGATTTTAAGTCTGCATCAAGAACATTTCACATCTAGGGTCAGCATTATCTTTCCTCCGTATGAACAGGGAGACTTTTGCAGCCGGATGCCACATGTCTGAGAAATAATAGACTGCTGTTTCTGTCTGGATCTCAT